CCCCGCCCCAAGGGAGGGAGAGCAGTCTTACTTTATTTCATTCATTTGGTCTTCTGTAAATCAGCAAAATCTGGTTCTCAGAGCTCAGGGAGCTCAGTGTTTCAAGAGCCTCCTATTGTGCAGAAGCCCATGAAATTATATATATATATATATATATAAAAATCAAGCATTAAATATTAGGATGACTCCTGAATGTGAAGTGCTCTCAGTTCATAACACCAGAGATTTTTCTGGAACCTCTAGGCTCCATCATCACCCTTTATGGTTTCTAAGAATCAAAGGGGAAGTGGTAGGGACTTCCAACCTGTTCACAGTCTTACAAGCTGCGAGAGAAGCTTTGTGACTAAAAATAAAACTTAGCTCCTAAAAAGAATTAGCAAACTTTGGTTCCGTTAGTGCTGGAATAGTTGCTTCTGCTTTGGACCCAAACCAATGCATGGGAAACGGGTAGTGATGACTAGTAAAAAAGAAAACAATGAATGAATGGGTATATAGCAATGAAACTTTAGTTGATTTTCTCTGCAAAAGGCAAAAAAAATGAAGCCAGTTTCCTTCTTGACTTTTAAAGGCCCCCAAATGCCAGACAGATGGGAATAGAATCCTGATGTTTTCTGAACGCTGTGGTTCTAGGTCTAGGAAGTGACCCTCTCACGTGAGGCTACCTGCATCTAACAATTGTCATATGTTACATTTATCTACAGAAGATTGAATTGTGACTTCAGTTAAAGTAAAGCTGGAACATATTCATTCATTCAGTCATTCATTCAGCAGATGTTTAGTGTGGTGCTTCTATGTGTCAGGTGCAGTTCTGGTTCTAAGGATTCTGATGGGAACAAGAAAAAAACCTCTATTCTCACCAGACTTTTCTCTCTAGCAGGGGTGGGTGGGTTGGCTTGTTGGTTTATTTTGGCAGCTTTTTAGTCTGCAAATCATCGAATCAGTTTTAAGCCCTTCTCCCTCTCCCCTCAGCCTCTACCCCCTGCCCTTTTCTCTGGGAATAGACCATGGTCTAGGGCGGGGAGTCCATGTTCTTTCAAGGCCTCTGGCTGCCACACCATGTGTCACAGGACCCACAAGAGTGTTGCCTTACGAGGAGAAAGGCTCCTCAGGGATTACTTGGCATGACAGATGATGCTGGTGTGGAACTTGGGTGCCAAAGGCCAAATCTAGATGGAGACTTGTTGGGAGACAGTGTGGTGCATAAGTCCAGCCGCAGGTCTCCTGCCCATATCTTTCTATAAGGCCCAGTCAGATGGGCAAGGATACACAGGTATGCTGGCTCTGCAGGCATGGAGCCTGGTCACCAGAGCAGGCTTATGTTTTTATGGAGGTTGTACAGCATCTTTAGCGAGCTCCCAACAGCTAACAGTGGGTGGAGGAAGCCAACAGTTAGGAGATCTGGCTCCTTAATCCTCTTGCCATGTTTTTTAATCTAGGCTGCCCATAGCTAGGCAGACTGACTGCTGCTGTTTGACCTGGCCACAGGGGCAGTCGATGGGCAGTGGTAGCTAGAGAGCCATTGCTTGGGAAACACTGTGGTGTGGTTGAAGCTGAAAAGGTTCCCCTTGTGGTCTGCAGGTCCCTCTGATCTTCCCCAGGCCAGGAAAACAGAACTGGTTTTGGTAACAGTGATGGTTCTTTTTGGCATGGGCTTACTGAGACAGCATGGTGGAGCAGACGGAGCAAGGGTCCTGGGGCCAGATGACCTAGATTGTGCCTCAGTTCTACCACCTACCAGCCATGTGACCTTGACAAGTCATTTCACCTTTCTGGGCTTCAGTTTCTTCTCACTGTGAATGAGAGGGTTAGACAGAGTGGTTTCCTAGGCTTTTCCAGCCGGAGCCTTTAACCTTTCCACTGCCTCTGTCCACAGGCCTCGCCCCGGGCCAGCTGTACACATACCCTGCCCGCTGCTGGCGTAAGAAGAGACGATTGCACCCACCTGAGGATCCAAAGCTGCGGCTGCTGGAAATAAAACCTGGTCAGTACCCTTTGGAGCTTGGCTGGTCCCGTGGTGGGAGAGATGGGGAGCATTGCACTGGCCCAGGGCAAGGTGGCTTTGCTCCTTTGTTCGTAGAGCGGAGTTTTCCAAGAGAGTGAGCATGCCCACATGGTGCTCAAAGGTGTGCCTGCTGTCACATAAACATGTCTGTGTGCCCACCTGAGCTTCTCTCCCCTATGGCTGTCTCATGTCTTCACCTTCCTTTTGTCTCCCTGTTGCCATCCCAGGGGAATAAAGCAAGCAGGCACAGGATGGGAACAGGCCTAGGTGGAATTACTTGCCCAGCAGAGCAGAAGGAGCTGCAGCTCTTTGGGTTGGTGATACCTTCCTGTAGCTTCAAGTAAAGACATCTTGTCCCAGGTTGTGTGTTTTTCTAAGGAGGCGAGTGTGCTGTATACCCTCTCCCACCCTTTTTGTGAATGAATATTTGGAGCATTTTACATAAAAGGGCCAGTCACCAAAAATAGATCTCACCTTGGAAGTGGAAAAGTTAGAGTTCAGAATTTGCCTGTAGGTGATGCTGATTGCTTTGTGGCCACACAGAAGGAATTGGTTGGTGTTCTTGACTACTGATCTGTTATTACACTTCTGACTAGATGGCCATCTTTAGACCTGTGTCTGGGTCACAGCAAGGCCAAGTGATTGCCCCAAGTCTTCAGCTTTAAGGGAATCGCTGGTTTTGCGGGTGCCAGGGAATAGGACTCAGGGTGGTGAGAATAGTGCTGTCAAGTGGAGCAAACACAGAGCTGACGTTTTCGTTTCCATTGTCACCAAAGCAATGCAGACCCAGCCTCACTCCTGCATTTCCACACTGACCCCTTAGGCAGCGTTCTCTGCAAAATCTCTACTTAAAGTTGTTCAGAATGTTTTCACTCACAGTTCCACGGTTAAGTCGGCTTCGACTGTTTGCTTCAACCTAGATTTCACTTGTGTACAAGTTTTATTTGTTAGGGGTGGGAGAGGGTTAGATTTTTCAATGCTCTTTATCCAAGCTCTCAAATGGCCTTGCACAATTTACAGATCCTTGCAGCCACTCTAGGGTAATGACTGAGGCGGTTCCAACACCCCCGAGATGCAGGCTGTAGGAGAGCCAAGTCTCCTGAGAGCACAATCCAGTAGAGATATAATGCAAGCCACGTGTGTTATTTTACATTTTCTAGTAGCCACAAAAGAAAGGAAAAAGGAACAGGTGCAGTTAATTTTAAAAATAGATTCTGTTTAACCCAAACTATAAAAAATATTGTCATTTCAATATGTAATCACTATAAAAATTATGAATGAGATCGGTTACTTTTTTTGTATTGTTTTTGAATTCCAGTGTGTATTTTACACTTTCAGGACATTTCATTGTGGACTAGCCACATATCAAGTACTCAGTTACCACAAGGGGATAGTGGTGCCCACTTTGGTCACTGTGGTTCTAGAACTACACTCAAAATACCATCTTGACCAGCAGCACAGGCCTCACCTGGGAGCTTGATAGAGAGGTAGAATCTTGGGTCTCACCCCACACCTGCTGAGCCAGAATCTGCATTAAAAAAAATTTTTTTTTATTAAGATTTTTATTGGGGAATTGGGGGATGGGAACAGCGCTGGGGAATTGGGGGAAGGGGAACAGACAAGTTGTTGTCCTTTTGTTCTTCAGTTTAGTTGTGGAGGACGTTGCTTCACTGGCCTAAGCTGGCACCATCATTGTGCTCTTCCCGGGCAAGGCAGATCAGTCGTCGGCTTCTGGACGGCCGCTCACGCTGACTGCTGGCTACACACGATAGCCCATGGCAACCCACTGTAGCAGGGGCTGCAGCCCACGCCATTGCTGGCGACTCATGGCAGCCCAGCTCCAGGTTGAGCTGTTGTTCAGCAACTTAGCTGTAGAGGGCAGTGTCACTGGCCCTCATATGTGAGATCCGAACTGGGGCCCTTTGGCATCCCAAGCCAGCTCTTAACCAATGCGCCACTCGGCCGGCCCCAGAATCTGCATTTTTATCAAATGCCCAGGACTATATCCCCAGAACGCACACTGAACTTTGAGAAACACTGATCTGGAAGACGTAAGTCAGTATAGAGCATGACTCCGTGTCATCTACGTTTCTTTGTTAAGCATAAACAATTGTTGATATGAACAATTTACTTTGGAGGTGGGGGTCCCCTCCTTCCTTGTTCCAGATCCATTCGGTCTGGGGCATGGATAACTGATGAGGTAACCCCTGGTTTGATCCTTACCTGGACCAATTTAATTCCACCCCTTTTACACCTTTGTAGCAGGTGCTCATTGAGAGGGTTGGCTGTGTGGACTCAGGGAGGGTGTTACTGAGGTGTTTGTCATTAGTTGGACGTGTCTCCATGTTGTAGTACGCGAACCCTGTGCATGTATTTCCCCATCTGTCGATAGGCACAGTGGTACTCAGGACCCCTAGCTGGCCTTGCAGGTCTATCACGAGGATCAAACAGGCCGTATGGAATAGCATTTGGCCTTTCAAACCCTTTCAATTAAAAAATTTTAAAAATTTGGGTAGGTAATACGGTTACATGTTTTGACATTCCAGAGATAGAAAGGATATATATTATGTAGTGGAAAGCACAACCTACTCTCCAAATAGGCAGTCAGTGGTATCAGTTTTTTGAGATTCTTCAGGAGATAGTCTGTACACACACCAGCAATTACATCTATATAAGGTTCCACTTCTCTTTTTACACAGCACAGCACCTTGCATTTTGCCCTTTCCATTTAAAAATGTGCCTCAGGCATTGGCCATGTCAATATGTAGAGTTTCCTCATTCCTTTTTTATAATTACACAATATTCCATTATATGAATGTACCACAACTTATTTAACCAGGTTGTTCCCAATTTTTGTTTCTAATTTTTCCAATTTAACCAGTGATCCAATGAATATTTTGCATATATATGAGGACATCTTCCATGTAATTTGTTCGTAAAAGGCTTTTATTATAAGTTCTCGGCACTAATTTTAAATTGTTAGTCTTTATTTTTTAAGTCTTTATTCTTAATATTTCTATAAAAGTCTTTATAAAGAACACTTTATATCAGATTAATTGGATCGTCTTTTATAGAATGAAAGACATTTAGCACTGGAAAATCCCTCAGACATCATTAACTCCAATTTCTTATTTTATTGAGGCCCAGACAGGTTAGGAGACTTGCTCAAAGTCACACAGCAATTCCTGTGAGAAACAGCAGAGACTCCAGGCTGTTTGATTTCCCTGTTCACAGCCTTTTCTCATGCTTTTTTTGCTCATGCTGCTAATAGGTGTAGTAACTTAAAGAGACTTTAACCAAGGCTTTCTCTTCTAAAAACTTTTATGTTTATAAAACAAATATATATTGGGGCAGCCGGTTAGCTCAGGTGGTTGGAGCGTAGGCTCATAACACCAGGGTTGCCAGTTCGATTCCCACATGGGTCACTAAGATGTGCCCTCCACAACTGGATTAAGGACAACTACTTGACTTGGAGCTGATGGGTCCTGGAAAAACATACTGTTACCCAATAAAATGAAAACAACAACAACAACAACAAAACAAAACAAAACAAAAACAAATATATATTAATTTATAAAATGCACCTAAGAGATAGTTGGAATTCCTTCAGTCATAAATGTCAGACATTCAAATCAAACTAGCTTAGCGAAAGAAGGGAAGTTGGTTCATGTAACAGTAAATCCCAGAGTTGACTAGCTTCAGGCATAGCGGTATCCAGGGGCTCAAGCATTGTAGTGAGGGTTCTGTGTCTCTCTCTCCACCTCTAACACTTTCCATAGGGCAGGCAAGGTGGCCACCAGTAGCCCCAGACTCAGCACTTGCCACGCCCAGCAGAAAGTTAAGTCCCCTTCAATAACTGTGGCAGGAAAGTCCCTGGAAGGACTGGTAAACCGGCTGGGTTTATGTCACTCCCACCAATCACCACCCAGGGGATGGTGGGGCACTCTGGTTGAATCACTGTTATCATCATCATCGTCATCACCAGTGTCTGAACAGCACACTGTAGTTTACCATGCCCTTTACAAAGCATTTTCATTTATCACTTCCATGGGTCCCAGGAGGCAGAGAGGGAAGGAAGGGGTAAAAGTGGTATAAACCCATTTTATAGGTCAGGAAAATCAGACTGCGGACAAAGCCAGGGAGCCTTTACTGTGCTGCTCATGTATCTGAGAACCTGCAGTCTCACCATTAGTGGGACTGAGGCAAGAAGCTTCTTACAGTGTCGGGTCCTTTGTCTGGAGGCATTTACGTTGGGCCTGCTGGCCTCCCAGTGGCTGCGTGTGGAGCAGCTTGGGTCACAGCTTAGGGTCGCAGCTGGTTTTGGACTTCGTCCATCCTCGGGCCTGCCATGACACGTGCGAGGAGGGAAAGGGGAGAGCCCTAGGCCTGGTGGTTTGCTATAGGCAAGTGCCCACCAGCACATTGTGTGTGCATCTGTGATCACTTGAAAAGTTTCCTTGGCTGCTGGCCTCATGCTTGGGGCAGAGGCTGAGGTGGCTGTTCCAGGTCTCAGGTGGTAAAGACCCAGCTCCCAGGATGGCCAGGGTCCTGGAGAAAGGCCCTCTTTGGAAAGGGAAGCACCGGCCTTGTCGAGGAGGGGTCCTCGGAGGCATAGCCATATCCTGAGGTGGGGAAAAGGCCGCAATTAAGTTGGGCTCACCTGAGGCAGGCTTATCGGCCAGGCCAGGCCAGTCCCCAGACTCTGAGAAAACCAACAGGCCGGGGCTGGGATAAACAACTTTTCAAATCACAGAGCTTCTTCACAGATGAACTTGTTTCCTCTCTTTGAGTAATCAGACCTACTACTGAGACTACTAAAAACAAAAACGAAAACCCCAAAGCCGTGGGCCAAATGTTTTCGTCACGTCTGTTTCCTGTTCTGAGTCTGTACCTCCAGGCTGGGCCTGGCATTCCGGATGTACCATCACACCAGCCTGAGACTGCAGGTTGTGAATCGAGATGCCAGGGGAGTGTCCGGG